CTCTGCATGCATTTCCGGGTTGGTACAGTGACACGTCAGCTACAGTGCCACATCAGACACAGTGCCACGTCAGCAGTGCCACGTCAGACACAGTGCCACATCAGCAGTGCCACGTCAGACACAATGCCACGTCAGACACAGTGCCACGACAGCAGTGCCACGTCAGACACAGTGCCACGTCAGCAGTGCCCCGCCACCATGACGGGCGCAGCTCTGGGCATGCTAGGCCAACTGGCCAACGAGTCCATTGCCGACTACAAAAAGCGTTTCCAGGCTCAGCTCGCTGCAATCGAGGCTGAGGAACAACGCCAGCTGGCAGCCAAGGCTGCCCAGCTACACGCTGAAGCAGCGGCAACAGCAGAGAAGCTACGGCTACAGGCCGAAGCAGACGCAGGTGCCCAAGCTCGCCGCAAGGAAGCCCAGGATCTGCTGCAGCGGCATGAAGCCGCCAGCATCGAAAGCTCAAGTTCCGACATTTCGAATCATCAAGACCAACCGGGCTGCTGCACACGAGAAGACAGCGTGGCAGCCAGCCCATGTGGAGAAGGAAAATTTGGTCCGCGTCCGCAGCATGTCGCTGCAGTCCAACCGGACACCATTGTGGAAGACCCAGCAGCCGCCCAAGCATCACGTGAAGGAGATCAGGTGGCCGCTGTCCAACGGCGAAGCAACAACAACTCCCGAAAACAGGGAAGGCGAAAACCGCATCGCCGATCGGAAATGGACAGCCAGTACCACAGCGCGGGAAACTGAGCTGCGCGGGAGGTGAGGCGACTCCACCTCTCACTCCACCAGATTTGGCCGCCTTGCTAGCGGCCTCCCTACACATCTGGGGAGGAGGCGCATGTCGCAAGTCCTCGGTAATCTTAAGAGGATTACGCTGTCCACTTGGTCCCACCGTTGGACCAACCGCTCCACGTGCAACAATCTACCACGTGCACGGTTTCATCACCATCGACAAACGATTCGGCAGCTTCGCCGCCATCTATCGCCGGGGATTCGAAGTCATCGTCAAGACTTGAAGAGCTCGACCCGTTGACGTTCGCGGACTTCCAATGGATGCCCGTTCCCCCGTCCGGTCGATTGCCGAAACCGCATTGCAACGTGCTCATGGCATAACTGCGGGATTACTTGCACACTGCAGTACCGACTCCGTTGATGGACGCCGGAGTAGAGGTTGTCGACCTTCACGCCTACAGTGCGAAGATCGACAGTGAGTTCAAGACGCAACGGTACGACGACATCGACGCACCATTGCTATATGTACGCATTCAGATCGGAGAGGCGACCTGCAACGCTTTGATCGATTGCGGAAGCACTCGCAACTATATGGGCCACAAATTTCCGGTGCGCAATGGCTTGGGGCCACGCGTTCGGAGGAAGTCGCAGCCCACGCAAGTCAAGTTGGCCGACAGTCACACGCACAAGTCAATCGACCGGTGCATTTGACCCCGTCCTCGTGTACTTCGCCCCGCATTTACCCGAGGCCG